ACAAAATAGACTGACTTGAACATTCATTGAATACTTAATATATAAAGAGAAATTACAGACAAAAAATTCTTTCTCTTTTTCTTCTTCATTCTGGAAAAAGTAAAGCTTACGTTAAAAAAGTTATAAAAAGAGAAATAGGAAAACGTCGAGGAACAGAAAAAGTACGCACTGAGTTACTAACGAGTGGATACAGTTAGGAACGACTTGTCGCTTGAAACTAAATGAAATGCGATTGAGAATCATTCGTCGCGATTGCAGATTATAAAATGGGAACGAATGAGAACGGTCCGCATTGATAGGGAGAAAATACAATTCTACGCGCCTGTATCGGATGTAAGGAAGAGATCCGTTGCAGCCGGAATTATCCGTTGCTCGATCGATTAGTGTACTATGTCACGCGTATCCGCGTATATATAATATTACATTATAATTATATAAAAATATATTTCTTAAATGTTAACACTATAATAAATGAGTATTATAAGCATTATATTTGCACATTTTTTTATCTTTCTTTCCTTTTCTTTTTTCGCATAGTGATAGTGGTAAACACGATGCCTATCGCGGATAACCGAAGCTTCTACGCGCACGAAACGTCGAGGAAGTACAACCGTGACGTACCGGTTTGCCGTATGCCGCACGCACATACACACACCCACACACATACACACACTCGCACACATACACACACACACACACACAGACACTCACATACATACACACATTTCAATAATACGGTAATATCTGTATCTCATCTTTCTTCTCGTTATTTTCTTTTTTTTTTTATCAATAACAATATCACTTATCACTTGTAGTACTCGTGTAAATAAAAAGACGCATAAACTGTTATAAAATACATTCTCGAGTATTATCAATCTGTAGAGTATATATATATAATATACGTCCTTATCTCTCTACGCGTTCGAACGAATAAAATCATATAAACGTCGTAATATAATAATTTTAATAGTACAATATTGGAAGCATTTAATATCATACTTAGGTGTTACGGTTATTTTCGGGCCTCGGATTTCGGTGAAGAGATTATTGCGAGGTTTCGGTGCACGTTTCGTGTTTTTTTCGCGCCGCACCTTTCCATAAAAACGTAAATATACAAAAGACGAAAGGACACCCTGAACATTTCGGCCATCCTTTTGACGTCTTTTGCATACATTCTTTTGGATTTCTGTGTTATACGTGTCACATCAAAATCTAATTTCGAAACTACTATAATCTCTGCTACGCGAAACGTACGCGTCGGGCGTTTCGAGAGATTGCTTCCGCTATTTGGCAAAAGCGAGGTCAGAGTTAATTCTGACGAAAGGTGCCACGCAGTGCTTATTCGTTGCAAGAGGAAAAAGTGATAAATAAAATGGAAGAGGCCCTGAGAAACGGATCCTCGCGGAATGTGTAACGCATTTCACGACGTGCTACGTATTTCTCATCGTCTCGAACAATTATCACGTTAGACATTACAGGAATAACGCATCATCATCAACTTGCCACCTTGTAAGTACAATAGTATAAAAAAAGAAAAGACCTTCTCGCATGACATCGATCACCGACCCGCATGGCCCTTAAATCCAAACTCGCCTATTTCGCCTCTTTCTCTTTCTTTTTCTTTCGTTCTATACATATAATAATGTAGAATAATAATATAATAATATAGCCTGCTTTTTTTCTTCGAGTAAAGTTATTCATTGTAAGGAAGTGGAACATGAGATTCTAATCTCCGTCTTTACAATCGACAAAATTCCTTAATGTTAAGCTCAATTAACAGCTGTACCCCAGACATATTTGATTTGGTAAACTCAATATATTCATCTTTACTCGTGTAGAACGAGTACTCGTTACACTATGCGCGATCTCCATTCTTATATTCAAATTATCGTTTGAACCTGAGTTTTGGAAATTATTTGTCGAGATATCTGGCACGTGTTTCGCGGAGATTAATTGTTTAAAAACTTTCCTTTTTCATTTCGATCGTCGAATCTAGTATATTTCGTATATTTTTTGCGAATGGATATCGCGCTCCTTATACGGACGTAGCTAACAAATTTGTACATTAATTAGTTTTCTTATTATTGTCATGGTATATATAATATTTTGTTAATAAAAATACTAAAATATTATGTATATTATATTATATATATATATAATAGATTATTGCATTATGCTTTTTGGTACCGTTACATGCGTTTGGCTTATTTGTCGACACGCTTGCCGCGAGTAATTTTATTTTTCGTTTGTATTCACCGGTTTTCATTTTTTTTTAAATTCTAAAATAAAATTAGTAAAATCTCTAAAGTCGGCTCAGACGATTCAAGATAAAACAATATTATTTTATCTCAATTACGAGATTTAATATACATTTTGACATCTAAGTTTTCCGAATTGCATCGTCTAAACCGTTCTTCATCTTTTTCTTTTTCTTTGAAGTACGAACCGACGAGCAATAACGCCATGGCTTTATAATGTGATGTCGCGCAGCATCTTAGGTATATATTATCTATATTTATAGCTTCACGAAACGTCGCGGCGTCTCTTAAAATTCATATCGTGAGAGAAGAATATAAAGGCGTTCTAGCGTTTTCACACGAAATGGGAGCTTCGAATAAACTCAGACATGAAAGAGGAATTCTAAACGTAAGAAAAAAGCATAGTCTTATATAGATCATCCAGTAAGAGCAAAATGTCAGCAATAGCTAGCAGTTTGTCACTAAATTCAAGCAGAATATTGCGACATACTGGCATCAACTGCGTCCGCATTAAGCTTATATTCTACCAGCAAAGTCTGCTGATACAATCTGACAATACCGAGCAAAATCTGTTATTTCGTAATCATTTAAATAAATGTAATGTCTTCAAATATAAGCCAAATGTGAGTAGTATAGCAAAAGGAGTTGTGACAAGTGACGAACAGGGAAAAGAAAAGGAGGGGATTAATATGGAAGAGTAGAAGAAATATTTTATAAAAGATCTGTTAAGAGCGATAGAGGATAGGAGAGTATTTGAGTAGAAAAAGAAAAAACTGATGAAGAGAGGAGATAAGAAGAGAAAAGATAAGAATGATATTGAAGGGGATCAAGAATGATATTCCTGAAAGTTTGGAAGTACAGCGAGAAGAAAATGAAAAAAAGATGAGTTTGGATTTTGTAACAGAATTTGGTAAAGAATGGATGAGAGAATGGGTCTCATGAGGGAATAAAAGAGAAAGGGGGTACAAGATTATAGACGGTAAAATTGATTCCGTCGTTATAAGAGTATCTCGCGCCAAGTGTACACATACACTAAGAGAAAAATTATTTTAATTACTATAATTAAATTAATTTATAGCATTTTTGTTGTTAACTATGATAATATGAAGAGAGAAATAATCAAAGATTTTGCTTGGTCCTTGTTGGCATTCTACTAATAAAATTTGTACTGACAATTTGCAAAAATTTTTTGGATAGATTTGGTTATCTAGGAGACTGTGCATTCTTATACAATAGCTGATGGCAACATTGAAGGATAAAGATATACATAGTCATATGTCTGTCATACAATGCTCTGGAAAAAGCTAATGTAAGAAAACAAAAATAAGAATACAAACAAAATAAAAATAGGAAAACATAAAAATAAAATAATGCGTAGTTCCATGTAACAATTTGTTGATTAATTCCAATCAATCCTGGAATTTACCTTTATTCCATATATGTATAGATGTCGATTTTATAAGAAATTAATCGGAAAATTAAAGATTAAAGGAGTACAAGGTAAATGATAATCTATAACAGTGCTCGGCACTAGATACACATTTCGGGCTGATTCCGGTGAGCGACCCCCACTATCACTCGAGTCTCAGCGGCCGAGCCGTCGACCGCTCACGTGACGCTCTGGCTCAGGAGCGTCCCTATATCTTAAACGTGCTAGGGTCGTATCTTCCGTCATTGAAGAATCTTTCTTGCTAAATAATTTTTATTTTTTCAAAAAATCAAGTACTAAATTTTCTATTATTAATGTATTAATATGCTCTATATATAATAATATAATTGTAGCAATAATATATAATGTGTATAATATAATTAGAGTTCTTTACAATATAGTTTTCCACATCACTCGTGAGGTACTATTGTTGACGCGTTTTTTTCAAAGTGGTTTCCCCAGTAGGCCTATTTCACTGAAAAAGATAATGAAATGGCTCGGCAGGAAGGCAAAATTTTGTATAATGAAATATACATATAAAAATAAACAGGAATCAAAAGAAATTGATACAACCAATTTGCATAGAAATATTAATTCGATTTTCTGGGTCGTTTGCATGATTCCACTAAAGACGGTACATCCACAGAGATTTTGGAAGAAGTAATTCGCATCAACGAGGATAATGATGCATCGCTTAAAGAAGAACGTTTATCATTTTTGATCAATTTCATTTTGGAAAATTATACAAAATTTTGCCTTCCTGCCGAGCCATTTCATTATCTTTTTCAGTGGAATAGGCCTACTGGGGAAACCACTTTAAAAAAAACGCGTCAACAATAGTACCACGGGTGATGTGGAAAACTATTGTAAAGAACTCTAATTATATTATACACATTATATATTATTGCTACAATTATATTATTATATATAGAGCATATTAATACATTAATAATAGAAAATTTAGTACTTAATTTTTTGAAAAAATAAAAATTATTTAGCAAGAAAGATTCTTCAATGACGGAAGATACGACCCTAGCACGTTTAAGATATAGGGACGCTCCTGAGCCAGAGCGTCACGTGAGCGGTCGACGGCTCGGCCGCTGAGACTCGAGTGGTAGTGGGGGTCGCTCGCCGGAATCAGCCCGAAATGTGCATCTAGTGCCGAGCACTGATCTATAAGAATGAAAGTTGAAGAGAGTGAGGATAATGCGCATCTCTTTCTAAGAACAAAGAAATAACCGCTTCTTCTTTTTCCTTCTCTTCTTCAACTGTAGTCGGACAAGGAAAGTATCTGACTGTCTCTTGTCCTCTCTACTAATTCTGACTTCTTGCCTCCAACGAGAGAACACGGTCTATCTATATAAGTCTATGGGAGAAAAGTATAATCTAGGTAAGCAAACGAGCCTCAGATAAGAAGACTGAATACTTCTATTCTCTGTAGGGTTTGCAATAAGAATAACGATGATTCATGTGTTGGCTATAGGAGCCGGAGTGAGAGAAGCGCTTGAGGCACTTGGAGCACTGGAAGGGCTTTTCGCCGCTGTGCAGCCGCTTGTGTTCAGTCAGATGATGCTTGTGCTTGAACGCTCTTGGACACTCCACACATTTGTAGGGCCTTTGCCCTGAAACATTTACCAATCTTTGTTTTGTTTGCGTTCGTAATAAATTTTGTTTAGAAAGTACGATAGTCCCGAGGCAAAAGATTCCACGCTGTCTTAAGATTCCTTGATTAACTTAGATCAACGTTTTTCAATTTGCAATGTACATTAAATAAAGAACTAAATTATTTCACACTAATTATATTGAGAATTGGGTGAAATGAATTAGTTTTCATATATAATGTAGCTTATAATGTCCCTGGCGGAAAAAATTTTTACGAAAAAATATGGAAAAACTACATAGATTGAGACAAGATCTTAGAAATTCTTAATTTTTCATAGATATTCGTAGTTGGACATAGAGTGGCGTTATTTAAAGAGGCAGAGAACTTCTTGGTTTTTCAAACAAACGCTACTTTACTATGAATATCTATGAAAAACTAAGATTTTTTAAGATCTTGTCTCAATCTATGTAATTTTTCGTAAAAATTTTTTCGTCAGAGGTGATAAACAAAAGATGTTATAGATAAAAAGTTCAATAATGGATAATTTTTTGAGCGATAATGTATCAAAGATGTAAAACTTACAAAGCTTTGATACACTACAGTTCAAAACTATCTATTATTGAGCCTTATGTCTAATATCTTTTGTCCACTACATTATAAATTATATTATATGTATTTAAAAACTAACTCATTTCACTAGGACTAATTATATGCAATTCTGCATATAATTAGTAATGGGATTCTTTGCCAAAGTATATATATCATTAGATGCATACGTTTTAACACTCAACATAGATTTTTTTATCAATGGTAACGCAATATTCAGAAATAAAAAATAAAGTTCTAAAATTTTTTTTATTTTATCATTTTGAAAGTAATTTTATTGTAATGACGATATCACTTTGATTAAAATGAGAACAAACATAATTATTTAGATAATTTTAATTTTTCTTAAAATATTTTTATTTCGTATTTTACTCACTTTTTACTTATTTTTTTTTAAATTTTTTCATTTTTTTCATTCTCTTAAATTTCATGGCACATGAACTTTTTCCCACTTATTGTAGTAGTATACACCAACACCGGTTGAAAAACTCTGACTTACTGTTAGATAAAAAAAAAAAAGATTTGAAAATATATTGATAATTCTAATTTATGAGCTTTCCATAAATTGTTAACAAATCATTCTTTTTAATCAGTTTTAAGTATTTTAGTGAATTTTGATATCAAGAAAGAGAGAAAAAGAGAGATACAACTGTATTTTATTATTGATTAATTTGAATCTAAAGACATTTGTTTCGTTAAACAAAAAGAATTGTTTTTGTAAAAAAGGAGACTTATTCATTTTAATGAAGTATCTCGAATTTCTGATTTATTGTTAGATAATGGCTCTCGTTGCATAAAATTACGAAAAGTTATAATAACGTATATTACGGTAGCAGTAATGTACTTACCGGAATGTTCATACTTGTGTCTCGTAAGGGAACTGTGTTTGGAAAATGTTTTCTCACACCGATCGCAGAAATAAAGACCCTGCTCGTTTTCTGTGGCAGTAGGGGTTATTTCCGATTGTGGTGCAACTTCGCTCTCGCCCTTTGCGTTCGCTTGATTTTGATTCTGAAAGATAATACAATAAATATAAATTATACGTTCGTTTATAAAATTCCAAACCACTCATCTTACTTTCTTTCATTACCTTTGTGATTATCTCTCCACTGGGAGGTATACGCTTGGTTTCAATGGGATCAGTAGCGGTTTCTTCGTCTATGACCAAAGGTAAATCCTCGAGGTCATCGTTGTCGGGGGGGATAGTTGGAGCTGCAATATCGTCCTTCTGTTCGCACGGAGACGAGGTGTTTCTGCTTGATGTATCACTTTCTTTGGTCACCGATATAACAAGCGTTTCTTTCTTCGATAAATCCAAAGGCTGCTCAATAATAGATGGATTCTCTGGAAGTGCTAAAGGTACCAGAGCTGGTGGCATTTTCGATTCTCTTCGATCTCTGGCACGAGAATTTTGAAACCAAACCTATAAAATGATCGTATAATTAATAATTAATTATCACAAGTTTATTAAATATTATTAAGTTTATTAGTTGTTTTAGAAAGTATTCTAATTTTCAATCTAATTCTCTCAATTTAGACAAACAATCTGCCTTTATTTTGCATACCTGTACGACACGAGTAGGAAAATTGATGTAATTGGCGATCATGATGATCTCCTCCTTTTTAGGTCGCGGATTGATGGCATAATAACCTTTCAAAACAGCAAGCTGTTCATCATCTATGAGCGACCTAGCTCTGACTCTTCTACCGTGGTTGTTCTGAGTCTGGTTATCCTCTTCTTCATCTTCCGAATCCACCTCAGAACTTTCCTCCGCTTTTCTCTTGGCTGATCTCGATGTCGGCTGATTGATATTCTCGAGTTTCGCGGCTAAACCTTCACTTTGTGAATCATATTGATCTGTTGTGCCCCAGTCCAGACAACATGTCATTTCATTAGACATTTCGCTATCTTGATCCTATAAATAAGATTTTAGTTCACAAACAGGGGAATGAATATTTCACACAACTTTTTACCAATGCCAATGCAATATTCAGAAATAAAAAGTAAAATTCTAAAAGTTTGTTTTATTTTATCATTTTGAAAGTGATTTCATTGAAATAACATTACTTAAATCAAAATGAGAGCAAACAATATAATTTAGATAATTTTTATAGTTCTTAAAATAGGTATTTTTATTTCGTGTTTCACTCGCTTTTTTTACTCACTTCTAAATTTTTTCACTTTTGTCATTCTCTAAAATTTCGTGACACACTGGATTGTTTTAATTCAACTTACTACAGTGTAGACCGACACCAGTTAAAAAATCTTGACTGTTAGATTAAAAAATAAATTTAAAAATATTCATAATTCTAATTTATGAGCTTTTCATAAATAGTTGTTAATAAAATCTTATAGCTAATTCGATTGGATGCACTCAGTACGCAGTGGTGCACACGTCGTACACAGAAAAATTCAGTCAATTGGATATCTTTCAATATATTTTTATTTATTATTTTATTTAGAGATCTCTGTCATTTTTTATAGTAAACATGTTACATTTTGAAATGTAATCTAAGAGATCCTACAATTATTAAATATAAGCATTAATTTATATATAGTATATATTATATGTATTTTATTTATGATATTAATATGTTATATTATATATATATATATTTCACTTATATATTTAACTTTTAGAATTTTACGCTATTGTTGTTTCAATAATAACAAATTAGTTCTCATCGCAAATCTTTCCCCATAGATTAAATAAAAAAAATTCTCGTTATAAATCTCTCATTACATATATATACCTGGTAATCCTCTTCGAACTCCCGTTTCATCGTGGCTGGAGACGTGGATAGCTTCCGCATGTTCGCTTCAAGCAGCTGCTTCGTCACGGAGGTGTTTACAGTTTCTAATATTCGTCGGACCGCATCCAGACCTTGCAACGGATCTACCGGCGCGGGAGACTCCTTGCCCTCAGTGCCCTCTGTTCCCTCAGAGTCTGCTGTCGATGGACTCATCACTTCCCGATGCGTCTCAAATTGCTCAGTAACATGGTCAAATCGCTTGGCGTGTTCAGCAGCTTGCCTATCGAAGACTGCAGGAAATAATTTCCGAATCCCATCATGTGAGGTAACAGAGTTGGCACGTCATAAATACCTGCATGATAAACCATTCAAATTGAAGAATTATGATAATCATCAAATAGCGTTTTTTATTGGCAGAAATAGTGCTCATTCAGTGTACTTTAAATCCGTTGTACACAAATCGACATGAAGATGTACATTTAATAAAAATATAGAAATGATAATAAAAATATAGAATTAAATCGCGAAATATTCAATATATTTTATTGTGCTAATTGATAAAATACACATTGGGCATTTTATCAATTGAGATATCTCTCACTTTTACATTTACATTAGAATAATGTACAACAGCTTTAATGTACACTGAGTGCGCACTAATTCTGCCAATGAAAAACGCTAAAAATGAGATATATCTAAAATTATTTAAAATGAAAATCCTAATACCAAAATACTAAAGCAGTATCAATTTTTTAATAAAGTGTTTAAGGGGATCCTAAACCGATTACCGAACTTGATCGAGATCGATAGTGCAGACTTTTTTAATTCCAAATCCGATAATAGTGACATTTTTGATTCATTTCTTACATTATATTATATATCGTTTTATCTCACTTAAACGCATACATCTGTCCTTATCTAACATATACCAGCACCATCTATCGCAAGACCGCGCAACTATTACTACACGGAATTTCGGTTCTGTTGACAGTCCCAGTCTTCGCAAAGCATCCGTATACACGTATTTTCCATTCCGGTGAAAAAGCTTTTCTTGTAGACTTTTAATCTTAGTTCTACAAACTCGGTATCGTTCGTTACAATAATGTGACCTCAGCCGTATGCTTATTTTCAAGATATAAACTATAAAACTCTTGTATGAAGCAAATATAGACCTGAGATGTCAGCTGTACGAGCTAAAAGTAAGCGAATTTTTAAACTTTTCTTCGACTTTCTCATAAAATCCGATACAGCTAAGGTCCTGTTTGTGCGTACTTTAATTCTGTAAAAACAATTTTGCAATCCATCAATTCAATTCAAAGATATTTCACCGAATGGAAATGATGGTAAAGTAGAACAACTTTAGCATCCCCTTAAAGTGAACTAATCAAATTGTTCGAAATTCGTGTGCTCAAACATAGCATGTCGTGTAATAATAAAGATATTTTTATGCATCAATCCTATTCTTGAAATTGGTATGCATAATTATATGTATATACATTTATTATCATGTGCCGCGCGAATTTTGAATAATTTGATCGGTGAACCTTATATTTATTTAAAAATTATTATACTCTCGACATTTTGATTTATTATGATTTTTTTAAGATATATATAAAATATATAAAATAATCTCAGAAATCTATTATTACGGGAGATCTGGACCATCCTACACAAAAATTTATCATTGTCTCGACATTTTTATTACAGAAAATCTATTCGAAAGTGCCCATCAAATTCGTAGATGAAAGGAGACTAAATATAAACACATGCATAAATGTAGTAATATATATATCTATATTTTTAGAAGAAATATTGATCTAAGTGATAAAATTAATCACCTGTTCCCTCCCTTTGTATCTCCTGATACTCCGACGGCGATAACTTCGGCAGAATCGGCAGAAACGTATTATTGTTGGCTGTCAGCAGATCGACATCACGTCGTCCCGATAAAGCCTGATGAGTCTTTTTCTGTCCCCGATCGACATTGGTTATAGTGTTCTGTCTCGATTTTTTCAGATTCATTATCAAGCACTTTTTCGCTGTCATGTGGCTCGAATACGATCCAGAATGAGAGAAACGCTTGCCGCAATTGTTGCACTGGAATGGCTTCTCACCGCTGTGAATGCGCAGGTGTTCCTGCGAGAAATGAGAGAAGATGCGTTTAAATTTTAATATTTTTTCTATCTTTTTTTATTCTTTTACGATTTATATAACACGCAAAGAGAAAGAGATAAACTCAAAGTGGAAATGGGGATACTAAATTAAAGTCGTTAATATCGATAATAAAGATAAATAGAATCTAATACAAAAAAAGTAATATAATAAAAAGCAAGAAATATACTAGGAAATAATAAAATAATATTACTTACTAATTATATGTCATAACATGCTTATTATTAATCTATAATAACAAAACACCTTAAGATGATGCTTGAACTTGAAGGCCTTCTCGCAATGAGGACATTTAAACTTTCGTAGAACAGCACTTTCATCATGGCTAATCATGTGCCTCTGCAATCGGTAGACGTTGGCGAAGGTCTTGCTACACACCTTACAGGACTGTTGAATTATTAAGATGAGTAAAAAAAAAACAAAGATAAAGAGTTTCTCACGAAACTGATCAGTTCGTATTATTACAAATTTCTTTGAAAATTCATGAACAAAAATATCTGTAGCAAGAAGTCAAAGGTACTTGTTTGTTTATATGTTTACGTAAAAGATATTCGTCGAGTGTTTTCTTCGAATCAGTTAATCACAGATAATTTCTGTGTAGTATATTTGATCATAGTTTCATGAGTATATATGATATATATGATATATAATTATCTCGCAAATAGAAAATGTTTTAATACATCATAGATGCACACTGTATTTATACTTAAATTTTTCTCCGAGAACTACATGCAACCAGTAACAAAATCAATCGATCGTTTCTACTTGTTTCTTAAAAGAGAAATTACATTCTTAATTCACTGGTTAATCTAAGAGAAATATGTCGAAATACATATTTATTTTAATCGCATCAATTGTGCGTATTTTTTATTACATGTTGCAATCTATTGAAATTTCAACCTAAGATACCTCCATAAGAAAAGTTGACTAGAGCACATTCACATTCAAAATTAGTACGATTCAGGCACACACAATTCTAGATAACATTTTGTCATAACTGTAAAAAAAATATATAAAAATATATAATGAAAGATTCGCGTCACTGAGCGAAATTACATGTATTAAATGTTAATTAAAAAAGAAGACAGAAATATAAAATAGAAAAAATGTAAGAAACGTTTTTGTTTTTATACAATATCATGAAATTAAATATATATAATTAACCATGTATCACTTGAGTTATGCAATAAGTATAAAGTTATTATATTGTATAAAGTTATCTATAGAAATTTATCTATTTTATTTACCTATTTTTATTAACTTAATAAACTGCAAGCTGGATACTCTTCGCACCTTACACTTGTTACTTATAACTTTGCGCGTTACTCATTTATATGTTTATCCCAACAAAACTACCTTAACAAAAGTAATTTAGAAAATAAGATAATAACATCTATCACCTATTTACGGACATTCGTGTCTCCCTTCCTCTCGGAAAATCGTGTGCGAAGAGATACGAACTACGAAAACGGCGCCTCTCAGCGGAAAGCTGACTGCCGCTTTTGCGGGGATATAATCGATAAGTCCGCGCGCGGGACGCAGCAAACAAGGGGCTCTTCCCCGGCGGAGTGTGTGTCCTTGACGGGTCATCACGATCACTCACCACTTGGGAGAACTGGGCGTTGAGATCGTGCTTGTCGATGGTACAGGACGTTTTGTGCGTGTCCTCGAGATGAAGCTGCAGGACACGGACGTCCCGACAAGGGATGCCACACTGAGGACACCTTTCGCCACCCTGCTGCTGCTTCGCGGATGATCCGCCCTCGCTGTCGCCGCCACCACCCACCCCCCCGCACGTACCGCCGCTGCCGCCCCCACTTCCATCGCCGGCAACACTTCCACCTCCTACGGTTGGCGCTCCACCCGCGCAACCTCCGCCCACCTCCGTATCCACGACACCTGCGTCGTCCTCGCTACAGCCTGTAACACGCGCACACGTGGCACGGTTTTTATATTTCACCTCGGTAGCGCGCCATCGCACAATATACATATATGTATACACGGATCGAGCCACGCATTCAAGTACTGGTACTATCCAGGTATACGCGTGTGCGATATTACGCTTGTGTGTGTGTGTGGTGTGTTATCACTTTATTTTATAATCAACATAATTAATCTCTTCATATTTCCGAAATTACCATTTCCTACTGACAATGAGAATCAAAGATATTCAGAGTTCAATGTACTTTCTTAATCCTATTTTCATTCTTTCAAATTTAAATTATGTTTTTATGTTTTTGAAAAGAGAGTTGTACTTCAATCGCTAATATCGCTTAAATGCGTATAGAAGGAAACGCGTTTGATAACGTAAATTTTGTAATAACAATACTAAAGATAAAAATGAACATAATATCAGTGAATCCAATTATCGATTGATAAACACAGGATATTATATGAGTAAACATAGAATAATCTCTATGTTTACTTGTACAACAGAAGTACTTGGCATAAAATAGCGCATTTTGGCATATCTTCAACGTCATAAATTAAGTTTATATTTGAATGTTATTAGTCTTAATTACTGGATAAAATTTAATTGATTCAATTTTTGTATTCGCAATGTAGATCGCGAATGAACGATATGCTACGAGATTGACATTTGGGACGTTTTCATCAGTCTTATAATCAGGAATTAAAATGCGTAGATATAAATACGCGCTGACAATAAGATCGATTGTTAACGTTACGGAGAGATAAAGATCTTTCATGTTAATTAACAGTAAAATCCAATCGAATATTTTTCACATCTTTGTTACATTAAAAATTATATATTTTAGTCGTACGCGCAACATTTGGTTCCAATTACTTCTATATAAAGAGTATTCATATAAGGATCCATCATTTTTAAACATACAGACAAACTAAGCCATCACATTGGCTGCGTTCAGCAGAGAAAACTAATCAGTTAGAGCTTAATGATTCTTTAATATGATTGGTTCTTACACTTAGATTTTGCGAAGAACTAAAGGCAAGAATCAATCATATTAAAGAATCACTAAGCTAACTGATTAATTTTCTCTACTGAATGCAGCCATTTTAAGCATATAGATATATATAAATATATAAAGAAGTACGTACATACGTATATACAAGATTAAAAAAAGATTTTAATATATAGTAAAATAAAACTTAAAATCTTGAAATCCTTTTTCAACATCCTATATATCTTTCCATATGATTATGTTTCTGTTGTTTCATTAACATTAATTTTTCAATTTTAATCAAATGTTTGTAAGTGAGACAGAACTTTTATCAAATATCTCTAGTAGGAATTGACTACCGGTGAGGTATTGGTTCGATCCAATTTTTTTACATGTCAGTATGATATCGAAGGAATATTGAGATGATAGCAATGAACCAAGATAACGCAGTATGAAGTTACAGTACTAAATACAGACATGATACTGCAAATATACTGCCGGTGTACTGTCTCAATACTGAAATCTGACTGGTTTTAGATAATTTCACGGGGCAACAAAATTAAAATTTTTAAAAGTTGTTTTAAAAATGTATATTTGATTTTGATTTTAACTGATAATGATTTTATATAGGAATTTAATAATCTAAATCTAAAAATAATCCCAAATTTGTTTCATCACCTACAATTCTTTTACAACTGAAAAATTAACTCTTTAGAATATATCTTAAATATATTTAAAATATAAAATTACAAAAAATTTACAAAAATTATACAACTCGATTATTTAAATCTTATGTAAAAGGCTAGTAATTCTTTTTTTACCAGAGAAGTTGAGAATAACTTTTCCTTTTGTGCCTTGCTTTTCGATTTTCACGGCGCAGCATCCAGCAATAATGTTCCATTCTCGTGAAAGAGTATATAAATTTTTTCACCATGCAGTATTAAATCCATATTTATATTTTGTAGAGCATAAGAAAATTAAATGTGTAAAATAACTATGTGGCACAATATTTTCGTTTTTCGAATTTAATACTTAAAAATGCGTCAAAAATACATGCTAAATCAAAAAGCAATATTGACAAAGCAAAATTTACAAAATGAAATATAATATAAAAAAGGTTATAGTCTTAAAAATATAATAATTGCTGTTTTTTATCTTTTTAATGCCATTTTTTTCAAAATTGACGTGATAGCCAAATTTGGACAGCGTATTTGTATTCAGCAAGCAAGAATACATCAGAAAAAAAAACAGCTAAAATGGTTAAAATAATTTTTCTATGTTGCCCTGCGTTTTAGTATAGACACAATACCGAAAATGTACTGATAACGTACTGTACTACTATTCAATACTAATCCACACATTGGGCCAGTACCATATCATTGTTTTTTAAATATTGGTCCAGTACTAAAATAGAAAACTCATTTTTCGATACAGGATCAATGCTTCGCCAGGATTCAATACTGTCTACCGTATAAATTCCCACTTGGGATATTTCGCACGCTACACATCATAGGTATAATTTAAACAGCCTGTAATAGGTATCTGATATCGAAGTAATATCTAATAAATAAAAGATTATTCGAAATATGATCACCATCGCTATTTTCATTTTGCATCAAATTTTCGGCTACACTCTTATAGACGTTAACAGTTAGTAATCTATATATAGAAATCTATGTGGTTCTCCGATTCTCGGAAATATCTTTCGATAATATGCTGCTGTTATATCGGGAACATTCTTTACATAAAATAACAAAAATAAATAAGATTTTGCATAATAATAGAGAATGAAAAAAGAATTATAGAGAATAGAATCAAGCGTTTCATTTTTGGCACGCAACTCTTATGCGGACAATACATACCGTAACGTCAGTCCTTAAAAGTTATATTCGTAGTTGTCTCGAGTTAAATATGTCTAACGAAATTATTATACTTGTTTAATGATATGATCAAATATCTATTAAAAAATTGGAAAAATCCCGATCGTAAATGAGATTCATGTTTCTTACAATTAATCACATTGGCAGTAAGTTACACGCTCGGTTACATGTTTATTGATGAGAAATTAAATGGTTAGCAATAATTAAACTTGCTAATGTTAACTATGTAAACAGAACTCAAATCAGCTGACTCAGAGCATCACCTGGTGGTAATTCCGGAAACTTTTTGATCAAGGTGGTACCTAATGTATAATGATTAAAAAGTTTAGTTCTCTTGATAACAAATTAACTTCAATTAAATGTTTAATTATTTATTATTAAAAGTTTTATATATCTATATATTTATATTAATCCACTTACTAATACTAATTATATTTAACTAGTTGGATATAAAATTGTATCATATTTAGAGAGAGAGAGAGAGAGAGAGATCATGTGTTTTTTGTCATTGAGATATTACATATTTACTATTGCTGCTGCGTGCTCGAAGCGAGACAACGAAGTCCAGCGGCTGGGTATTCGGAATTCCGAGTTGGACCGCACGTGCAAGATTGGTGGCGATCAATCAGCTACGCGTATCTGGTGGCCGGTATCGGTTTACATGTACGTGTGATGCGTGGAGTTAATCGCGACTACACCTTCGACAATTGCCAATATGCAATGTCTGGGTCACCACGTCAGTCGAATAATCCTCGGCATGACACACGTGCATCAGTGCGCACACGCATGTATGGAATGCGTATACCATTGGAAAAAAGACGCGTGCGCGATAGATATAATCGAATTGCGTAGATAGGGCGTAACGCCAGGACGCAAGAAGAAAAAATACGTGATGAATGCTGCCAAATATTGTGAGTCGATCTTTAAGCAAAAAGGAAAAAAAGATTGATTAAATCAAGGAAATTTTCTACGAACGTTTCGAAATCAAAGGTAAGTCAGATTAACTTAGTCCAGAACGATTTGAAGAACAATCTAACGATTTTCTTGCTGTTATATTTTCGGTATCACTGAAAGTAGTCTACATATTTCAAATAATTTTATGAGAAATGTTAAAGATCTGTTTTACAATATAGAGATATATTGTTTTTATTTTAGTTAATTTATAATTTATAGGATCTTTTAAAAATAAAATTAGATGAACGTATATCGTAAATTTTGTAAATAATTAAATATTAAATATACATTACCGATTGGAGACATATATGGTACATAGTTATGAATCATGAAGATTCTATTTTAAAATTCCGGTAGATCGATTTTCTTGTATTGGCAACACACTCGTACTCAAAGAACTGCTACATACGAAATGAACAAGACATCTTTTAGGTACCGAACACAAGTCTACCAATACCTGAGAAGTTTTTTACATATGTAGGAGCTAAAATTATATCAGTTGCAATTTTTGATATTTTTGAACTCGATAATCATTAAGATCGTTAACATCGATAAAATATATAGATGGATGAATCGATGAGAAAATAAAATTTTTGTAATCGCAGACAGAAATAAATAATATTCTCGCTATTCGCACACACGTTTATTTCATCAGTTTCGCTTTTACCTTTATATCACACGTGTCATGCACGTGGAATAGAAAAAGTCGTGACGAAAGGAACTAAGGAGACGTAGCATTGTTCTCTGTAGTGTGCTGTATGTAGAAGTGTGCTGTATGTAGAAGTGAATGTAGAAAAGCGAGGGGGGATGATCCCGTATAGGGTGGACATGTGAAACATGAGAAAAAGTGGTACATGGTGGCCATTGAAATCTATGTAACTTTTTGGGTGTGCCCATTGTCAGTGAGACCGGATTAAAATACCCTTCGAAGTACGATTTCCCACCGATAATCGCACACGCGATAATCCGATGCCGATGCCAACATCGGGCAGATCGCGGCCACTTGGCAGCCAGTCTGCGAATTAAATTCGCAACGAATTAATATTTAATTAACTATGAATTAAAATCTTTTATATCGTGCGTGTGCAAAGACTGTCAAAGTTAGATGTTTCGAATAATACAATATACAGGATGTCCCATAAGTTTTTGCCAATCGCTTTTGTGT